TGTGTGTGTGTGTGTGTGTGTGTGTGTGTGTGTCCTGGCGAGAGAGAGAGAGAGAGAGAGTGTGTGTGTGTGTATGTGTGTGTGTCCTGGCCGGGTTTTCACTCTGCTCTTGTGGCTGTGTTTTGAACTACATATGCATGGGCTTCCATTGGTTCCTCCATTGGATTTGTCCTCCTGCTTCTTGTTCATGGGAAATGACTGTCAGAGCCGGGAACTGTCAAACATTTCTAAACCCCAGCCTTCCATTTAGTCTTCATGAATGCACTCAGGCCCCAGGCTGGTTGTGAATAAATACCACCCCCATCTTCTGCAGCTCTCGGCCTTACAAGCGAGCCTGCCAAAGGCTGGCTTGGAGTCACCTCCTTCAGTTTAGACTTTCCCTGGAGAAGAAAATCATGAAGGGCCCACGGCCGCCAAGAAAGCGTCAGCAGTGTATTTACAGAGGTGCAGAAAGGCCAATTAAGCCCATCCTGTGGTTTATTGTTATTAGTGGTAATTATTTCTGGCATGCGGTTCAAGGGTGTCTGAGGCCCGACCGGGCCCTGGAAGCTTGTCCACGGCTCCCTCGCGTACAGTGTTGATAGAATGGGGAGAGGATCTCTGGGTGGGGGACTCCAGGCCACTGGTGAGGGGAGGCAGAGCCCCCCTGTGTAGACAGATCCATATTTCCTTAGAGGTGAAGGCCTCACAGATGATGGCTGTCTCCTGCCCTGCCTTCTGGGACTAAAGAAACAAACAAAATCAAAAGACAGCAAGGACCTCAAGGAATTTGAGCAAAGCAAAGCAGAAATGAGCCTCGAGATGCCCCATTCCTTGTGTCCACCCTTCACCTGGCCCTGGTCCAGGAGTCCTCAGACTGCCTTAGTCTAAGGAGGAAGGTTCTGGACAGCAAAGGCCTTGGAAGCTCCGACCCAGATCTGGGGTTTCCAGAAGCTGAAGGCCAAGTTCAGTCTCTTTTGGTGAGGCACAGAGGGAAGGGATGCAGCCTTTTAGAGCAGCTCCCCGAGTTGTGTTTCGCAGAGAGGCATGAGCCCACAGCAGTAGGACTCACGCAGTGGTTTTCAGGCCGCTTTCCAAGAACCAGCCCTTCCTTGGAAACTTACAGAGGAGACAATCAGCAAGAGGATGGGTGATAGCAAATTCCAGGAAACCCGGGAAAATGTTGATCCTCATGCCATGCAAGGGTTTTCAGGGACCATCCAGCCACTCTTTCTCCAAACACCTCTGCTCTCATGAGGTTTTTCTGTGGACAGGACCAGGAAACCTTCAGGATGGCAGGTCCTCACCTTGGTGCTCAGGTGGACGGTGGCCAGCAGGACCTGCAGCCCTGGCTGGCTCAGTGGTTACTCTTAAGCCGATCTGTCTGATGCCTGAACCAAATGCAAGAAGCTGGAGACTCTGTAGGAACAGTGGGCCACTACTGGGTCCCTCACAGCTATTTGCATTTCACAAACACCCTTGCCCGATGCTGAGGGTTTCTCATTATGATGCTGTGTTTTTCCACTTTGAACTGAGCTGGGATAGTTTGTGCGACCACCCTGCTGGCTCCTTGCACTGGGCTTCTGCCTGGGAGCCTTGAGGAGGTCGGGAACCAGAGGACCCTTCTGGGCACTGGTCCTTTTCTTCCTGGGGGCTTCCTTTTGGGTTGGGCCTGGAGCAAGCCCTCCCTTTTGCTGGGGGTGGGGAGCTTGCGACTGGTGGCCTGGGTGAGCTGCCTGCGGTGGCCTCTGACACTCCCTGGCTGTACAGCGAGTCCTTTGTGAAATTCCTGAGGCAGGAGGGGGCAGCGGTGTGGAGCCAGCTCTCGTGGCATGGCCGGCAGAGAGAGTGTTGTGGTGTATTATCAAGTGATAAGGCCTCTGAAAAGGCCATGGAGAAGAAGGGACATGCATTCCTGACTGCAGAGTGCCTGGCCTTGAGAGCCTGGTGTTTGGAGAACAGGAAGCCTGGCTGGATCCCTGTGGCGGGGGAGGCGAGGGGAAGTGAACTCAGCGGACGTGGGAGCAAATTCTAGCTTGGATGCCTTTAATTACTTATTTTTTAATGTTTTTGGATCCAAGGGGTGCTAGAGCAAGTTTGCTACATGGGTGTGATGGTGAGGTTTGGGTTTCCTGTGGAGCTCATCACTCAGGTGGTGAACGTGGTACCCAATGGGTGGTTTTTCAGCCCTGACCCCCTCCTGTCCTCCCCTCCCCCTTCTTAGGAGTCCCTGGTGCCTGTCATTCCCAGCCTTATGCCCACGTGTACCCAGTGTTTAGCTCCTACTTGTAAGTGAAAACACACAGCGTTCGGTTTTCTGTTTCTGTGTTAATTTGCTCAGAATGATGGACTCCAGCTGCATCTATGTTGCTGCAAACTACGTGATTTTGTTGATTTTTTTTTTTTAATGGACGTCTTTAATTAACGAAACATGAGCTCATTTAACCAAGTGAACTCACATCTGTGGAGTGCCGACGATGTGTGGGCAGATACACTATTCAGGGGGTCTCCATCAAGTGGAGAGTCAAAACATTCAAGACTTGGCAGTGGAGGATGGGCTGCTCAGATGGATGGCGTGAGACCTGAGTTGAGTTTTGGATGCAATCAGCTTCAGATAAGGAAGGGCATCGGATGCTTCAGCGTGGAGGGTGTTATTTTTTATCCTTGAAGGTGGAAGAGCTCCTTTGGGGGATCCCACGCAGGAGACTGGTATGGCGAGACTGTGTTTTGGGAGGATCACTCTGGGAATGTCATGTCATGGGGAAGGAATGGAGAGGTGGAGGGGCAGTGAAAAAACAAACGTAACTCTCCAGTCCATTTGGGAGGCTCTGTTGGAAGGAGCTGGAGAGAAATGATGAGGTCTGATTTAAAGGAAGATTGCATGCAAGGCACCAAAGCGCTGGCATTCGATGGATTATAAATGATTCCTGGGCCATGCACTGTGGCTCACACCTGTGAATCCAGCACTTTGGGAGGCCAAAGGGAGAGGATTGCTTGAATCCAGGAGTTTGAGACCAGCCTGAGCAATATAGCAAGACCTCATCATCTCTGCAAAAAATTAAAAAATTGGCCGGGCATGGTGGCGCATGCCTGTGGTCCCAGCTACTTGAGAAGCTGAGGTGGAAGGACGCCTGAGCCCAGGAGGTCGAGGCTATGGTAAGCCACGATCATGCCACTGCATTCCAACCTGGGTAAAAGAGTGAGACCCTGACTCAAAGAAGAAAAAAATGTTCCCAACTTTCTGGCTTATTCTTGAGTGGGTAAAGAAGAGGACATAATTGGGAATCAGGGAGTTGACATTCTTTCTTGAATAGGAAACTCTGAAATGATTGTGCAAAATTTGTTTCTCACTCTTACAAAGTCAGCTGTGAATCTGGTGGCTGTCAAGGTCAGCTAGCTCCAAGCAGTGACTCAGGGATCCAGGCTGTGTCTCTTGGGCCGATCTGGAGGACTGTGTTTGCTTTCATGTACTTTAGTCTGGAGATACCACGTGAGATTTCCTCTCAGAGGCCTTTTAGTCAGAACTAGACACTGCGAAGAGGGCTGGGAACTGTGTACAGAGAGTTTGTGGAACATCAAGGTTAAGTCTGAGGTGTCACGGGTAATCCAGCAAAGGTCTAGACAGTACTGAGGACTGGGTGCTTAGACGCCCTCCGGGCAGAAGATTGTTCATAGACTTGGGAATCAACAGTGTAGGAGGTGGAATCCTTCCGGATGTCTGGGTTCCCCTAGGGAGAAAGTGTGTTGGGTTCAAAGCACAGGGACCAAGGGTGAAACCGTAGGGTGCTTACTTTCATGGGTGAATGACTGGTAAGGCACTGGGTTTCCCTGGGATGAGGCTGACGTCTTCTTTAAAGGGATGGTGAGAGCATCGGCGTGCTGCTGAACAGGCAGTGTCTCCTGGTAAGGGTGTGCCCTTCCTTGCTGTTTGAGACTGAGCCTTGTGTGTTCTGTTTGCCAGGAACTGTGGTGTATGGCGAGCCCATCACTGCCAGCTTGGGAACAGATGGCTCCCACTACTGGAGCAAGAACTGGGCCAAGGCTGCTGCCTTTGTCACCTCCCCGCCCCTGAGCCCCGATCCAACTACTCCAGACTTTCTCAACTCCTTGCTGTCCTGGTGAGTCCTGGCGACGTGTTCACACTTTGCATTTTCAGTCTTTCCTCAGACCAGACTGACCCGGAAGGTGACCACCTGGTAGCCGAGAGCAGGCTTGCACACAGGTAGATCCTTATTTACCAAACTAGGGCTGCTAGACGAGATCAGGGAATTACCACTCTGTAACCATTCTGGGATTAAAAACCTGCGCCATCTTGAAAGCTCACCCCTGGGGATGAATGAGGCATCAGGAGGACTCCTCGATGGTGGTCACAGTCCCTCCCGTGAAATAATCTCACCAAGTAGATTTAGCTGTGTTCACGGTGTTCTCACGGAGCCTCAGCATCACGTCGTGTGTTCTTCTTCCAGCGGAGACCTCCAGGTCACTGGCAGTGCCCACTGTACCTTCAATACCGCCCAGAAGGCAGTAGGAAAGGACAACTTCACCTTGATCCCTGAGGGCACCAATGGCACCGAGGAGCGAATGTCTGTCATTTGGGACAAAGCTGTGGTAAGGAGTGATGCCTCCCTTGGGCTGAGTCTCTGCTTTTCCCTGCCTCCTCATCTGATGGCCATGGGCTCATGGAGGCCTTGAAGTCACAGTCAAACATTCTAGAAGCTGGTGTTTGTAAGACAATATGTTTTAGGCCTGGAAATCTAAGATGACTCCCTCTAGGTCATTCTCTCCTAAATATTACATATTCTTCCCATTAGCATCTGTGGAACAGTAGAGACTAAAACTGTCTAGATAGGCTTTAAATATGACTCTGTGGATCAGTCAGGTTTTTCCTGGCAGCCTGGTGAATCCATTTCCTTAAAAGTATCTTTTGGAGCTCTCTGGATTTAGAATTTCTACACGCTCCTGGCTTCTGGTAGTCCTGCTTCAAATGTTTGTTTTTGACTTGGAGTCTCACTCTGTCACCCAGGCTGGAGTGCAGTGGCACGATCACAGCTCACCTCAGCCTTGACTTCCTGGGCTCGGGTGGTCCTTTCACCGCAGCCTCCCGAGTAGCTGGGACTACAGGTGTGCACCACAACACCCAGCTAATTTATTTTATTTTATATTTTATTTTATTTTATTTTTACAGAGATGAGGTCTCGCCATGTTGCCTAGGCTGGTCTCGAGCTCCTGGGCTCAAGCAGTCCGCTTACCTCAGCTTCCCAAAGGACTGAGATGACAGGCGTGAGCCACTGTGCTTGGCCTATTACTGTTTTATTGGAGGAATGTTGTCTGATTGTCTCATATTTAATTTCTTCAGTTACTGATTAGAGTGAATAATTTTCATATGCCTTTGGGCCATTTGTGTCTTTCCTCCCTCTTACGCCAGCTCATTTCCTTTGTCCAGCTTTTTACTGGATTGAGAGTGGGTTTGGGAAGGGAAGGACTTGAGAACATGTGACTGGTACCCCCACCACACCACAGAAAGCCAGATATGGGGCCAAGCTTTCTAGGTTGGCTGCACTAGAAGCCCAGATCCGCGCCTGTATTTTGTTGAAAAGGACTACAGCCAGTCCGGCCAAAAATGCTGTTTCCTGAGGCCGCATGGCTGCCCCTGCAACTTCAAAAAATTTCTTTTGTTTTTGAACTAATTGTAGATTCAGAGGAAGTTGTAAAGATACCATGATAGGTCCTGGATACCCTTTCCTCAGTTTCCCCTGCGGTTACATCTCACGTAATTGTGTGTGTGAGACATCAAAACCATAACATTGGCTGGGCTTGGTGGCTCAGCCTGTCATCCCAGCACTTTGGGAGGCCGAGGCGGGTGGATTGCCTGACCCCATGGGTTTGAGACCAGCCTGGGCAACTTGGCAAGACCTCGTTTCTACAATAAATCAAAAATTAGCCGGGCGTGGTAGTGTGCGTCTGTAGTTCTGGCTACTTGGAAGGCTGAGGCAGAAGGAGGATTGCCTGAGCCCAGCAAGTCGATGCTGGGGTGGCCGTGAGCGTGCCACTGCACTCCAGCCTGGGTGATGGAGTGAGATTCCAACTAAAAAAAAAAAATCCCCAAAAAACAAACAAAAATAAAACAAATTTTAAAAAAAACAACACAGCATCAACAGTGTCACAATGTGCGTGTATAGCTCTATGTCATTTTGTCACGTAGATTTGTGTAAGCACCACTGCAATCAGGACACAGGTCCAGCCCATCACCTTGAAGACCTCTCTCCTACTGTCCCTCTGGTGACACTCCCAGCCCCTTCCCTCCACCCTCCCTGTCCCCTGGAGGAATCCTTCGAGCCGCTCCTCGGTTCTCCATCTCTGCAATTTTGTTATGTGGAGAATGCTGTGGAAATGGAATCCTACAGTATGTGACCTTTGAGGTTTTTTTCTTTTTTTCCAATTATCATAATGCCCTTGATATCCATCGGCATTATTGGGTCCATCAAGAGTTTGTTCCTTTTTATTGCAAAATAACGTTCCACCCTTTATCTCTTTAACTTGCTTTTGTGCACATGTGTACATGTGTGTGTGCTGTCCTCCCCTCCCCAGGTCACCGGGAAGATGGATGAGAACCAGTTTGTGGCTGTGACCAGCACCAACGCAGCCAAAGTCTTCAACCTTTACCCCCGGAAAGGCCGCATTGCTGTGGGATCCGACGCCGACCTAGTCATCTGGGACCCTGACAGCGTTAAAACCATCTCCGCCAAGACACACAACAGCGTAAGACCCGATCCAGACAAGTTATAGTCACAGAAAGAGGCAGAGGAAGGGAAAGTACCAGGATTTCCAAACCTACTCGCTGTGACAGGAGTGAACTTCTCTCCAGGATCTGTACTAACTTGCAATTGACTGAGGAAAAAAAAGTAGCCGTTTTGTGTTCTTTAGTGAGGCCAATGAAACTGTTACTCACCTCATCATTTTGGAGGATCCCAGCCTCTCTGTAGACCTTCAGAGCCTCCAGACTCAAAACATTACACGAGAACCTTCTAGAAGTCAGGCACCATCCCATTTTCACAGTTCAGTACAGCACTTCCTAGGTAGTGCTTTTTGCAAGAAAGGGACCCAAATCGGTTGGTCACATGGCCTCTCCTGAGATGCCCATTGGGCACTTTGATTCTCTTAAGCCCCTGTTTTCTTTTCTTTTTCTTTGAGTTGGAGTCTTACTCTGCCACCCAGGCTGGAGCGCAGTGGCACACTCATGGCCACCCCAGTGTCGACTTGCTAGGCTCCAGCGATCTTTCTGCCTCAGCCTTCTAAGTAACCAGAACTATAGGCATGCGCTACCACATCCGGCTAATTTTTTATTTATTGTAGAGACAAAGTCTCACCAAGGTGCCCGGGCTGGTCTCAAACCTGCGGGCTCAGGCAATCTTTGCCTCTGCCTCTCAAAGCGGCCCTTGTTTTCTCTTGTCAGTGTTGCCATTCAGAAACCTGAATGACAGTCCCTCTTTTATATATACACATACACATGAGAGAGAGAGAGAGATTTTTTTTTTTAAATAGTAGAGACAGACTCCTGCTATGTAGCCCAGGCTGGTCTCTATCTCCTGGTCTCAAGCGGTCCTCCCGCTTCAGCCTCTGTAAGTGTGTGAGCCACCGTGCCTGACTGACAGTCACTCTCATTGTCTTAAAAGAATTGATTGACTTTGACTTCTCCCTAGTACAAGACATAGCTGCAAGCCATTCGCTCGGGATGTTAGGCTCATTCTCTCGCTTCTGGATCTGGGCTGTAGGGCTGAGAGCTACCCTTTCTTGCTTTTTCTTTATTGATTGATACATTATATGTGTGCATGTGAAATTTTATTACATGCGTAGACTGCTTGATGGTGAAGTCAGGGTATTTGGGGTATCTGTCACCCAAGTATTGAGCATTTCTGTGGAGTCCTATCCGATAGTAGGACATATCTTGCTCTGTGGCTCAGGCTGGTCTTGAATTCCTATCTGTAGGACTCCATAGAAGTAGTCCTCTCTGCTAGCTGTTTTGAAAAACACAACACATTGTTAACTGTAGTCAGCCAACTCTGCTGTCACACTTACTTAGATCCGTGTTTACCAAACTAGGGCTGCTTAACTTACTCTCTTGCTCATGCGATGCCAGGCAAGTGACTTGAAGTCTTTGGCACCTTAAGCTGAGATAAAGGGTTCAGTCGCGGTCTTTGATTGTCCTGTGAGTCTTTGAGGCCAGCGAGCGTTACGCAGAGGTGTTGGACACCCCGGTTCCTCAGACGGAATGGTACAGGTACAAAATGGAAAGAACACAGGCCGGGCTCAGTGGCTCAGCCTGTCATTCCAGCACTTTGGGAGACCGAGGCGAGTGGATTGCCTGAGCCTGCAGGTCTGAGACCTGCCCAGGCAACTTGGCGAGACCTCGTCTCTACAATAAATCAAAAATCAGCCAGGCATGGTAGCGTGCACCCGTAGTTCTGGCTACTTGGAAGGCTGAGGTGGAAGGATCGCCGGAGCCCAGCAGGTCGAGGCTGCAGTGGCCGGGAGCGTGCCACTGCACTCCAGTCTGGGTGACAGAGTGAGACTCGAAATCAAAAAAAAAAAAACATGGACAGGGGAGAGCTTTGGAAAAGGAATGGGCCTCAGGCAGAAGTGTATCATGTGAGGAGCTCGTGTGAATTTTAAAGTGAATTCTCTCTTTTTTTTTTTTTGAGTCAGAGTCTCACTCTGTTGCCCAGGCTGGAGTGTGGTGGCACAATCACAGCTCACCACAGCCTCAACCTCTGGGGCTCAAGCCATCCTCCTGCCTCAGCCTCCCAGATAGCTGGGACTATGGATAAGCACCATCACACCCAGCTTATTTTTTACATTTTTTGTAGAGATGAGGTCTCACTATGTTGTCCAGGCTGGTTTCAAACTCGCAGGCTCAAACAGTCCTCCCACCTTGGCCTCCCAAAGTGCTGGGATTGCAGGCATGAGCCACTGTTCCTGGCCTGAAGTGAGTTCTTAATGACTGGAGAGATTATTCTCGATAAAACTCTAAGAGGCAAGCCAGCCAGACAGGGAATGAGATTCCAGGGCCCACCCCAGACAGCCTGGGCCACCAACCCCACACCTTCCCCACATGCCAAATTTCTCCGGGACTACCCTGGGTCTTTGCCACTTTCCAGGCCTCTGTTTTGGCTGTGGCGAACCTGGGCTCAGCTCTGGCTTCTGCTTGCACCCATGGGTCCCAGCATGGTGGGTGCCTCTCAGAAAGCTACTCAACTCCACATTTCCCTCCTTACCCACTGGCTGGCTTGGAGCCCACTTATGGCAGCACAGCCCACCTGTGGCTTCACACACAGCCTCTTGGGGGTCCTGGCGGGCACCTTTCTGGGCAAGGGTTTTCTGGAACCCCGCCCAGCGAACCTTTTTGCTCATAGGCACTAACTTTCCATTCCCATTCACTCTCTCATTTGGCCTTCTCAGTACAGGGACCGGAATTATCATCCCTGTGGGGAAGATAAATAAACGGAGGCTGAGAGAGCTTAAGGGACCCATCTAATGTCACACAGCGATTTTGTGGTCGAGCTAGAATCAGAACCCCAAGTTGTCCAAGGCTCTTCCCTGCCAGGCTGCGCTTACAGCCTCCTGGTCAGGGTTAGACGGAGAGCATGCTTGCCTCCCTTGCAGGCTCCCCCTTCCCTTCCCTCACTAGGTACTCGAAGGGGCAGATGGGGCTCCTTACCTAGGATGCAGGTGGCCAGGCTGGGGGCTCGCGCTTGGAGCTCTTGGCCTAGAAGCAGAGAGCGTGTGAAGGCGTGAAGATTCGGGCAGACAGGTTCTGGCTTCCAGACACTTCCACCCACACCCGCCCTGCTTCTGCCTCCTGGTGACCCTTGTGGCGATGTGGACTTTCCGAGTGCCTGTCTTCCGTCCCCACCTGTCCTCAAGAGCCAGGGCTCAGTGTGCCTGTGTGTGTGTCATCTGGGAAAATGCAAATAGGAGCCTTTCCCATGTAATGCCGGGCTTCCCACCGCAGGACTCATCAGCTTTGATTTGGAGCATCTCGCCAGCTGTTATTGACAGCCCTGTTGCTGAACCTTGGCCTGGGTTTTTCCAGGCATCCGCCAGATGAGGAGTTTTAGAAAGGCCGTGTGGATGTGGGCTGACAATGTCTGAGCTTGGTGCACGATGCAGCCTTGCTGCCTCACGGTCTGATGGTGGAAGGGAGGCTCTGGGTGCCTTGAGCTGTGACCTGACCCTTGGACTTGTCAGTGTGGAGCCACTCAGAGGTATGGGGCTGGTGCCTCCGTCTTTTAAGAATGGGAGATGGCCCCACATAAATGAGCACATAGGTATGTATACATTGTACGATGTCTCGGGTACTGCAGGGCTGGCAAGCTTGCTGGCAAAGTGCGATAAAAGGCCTGACTGGCTGGGCATGATGGCTCACACTTGTAACCTCAGCACTTTGGAAGGCTGAGGCAGGAGGGTCACTTGGGGTCAGGTGTTCAAGACCAGCCTGGGCAGCATAGCCAGACCTCACCTCTACAAAAAAATTTTAAAATTAGCTGGGCTCGGTGGCTCAGCCTGTAATCCTGCACCTTTGGGAGGCTGAGGTGAGTGGATTGCCTGAGCCCGCGGGTTCGAGACCCGCCTGGGCAGCGAGACCTCATCTCTACAATAAATCAAAAAAAAAAAATCAGTCGGGCGTGGTAGCACGTGCCTGTAATTCAGCTACTCGGAAGGCTGAGGCGGAAGGATCGCCAGAGCCCAGCAGGTTGAGGCTGCAGTGGCCGGGAACGGCTACTGCACTCCAGTCTGGGCAACAGAGTGAGACTCCAACTCAAAAAAAAAAAAAATTAGCTGGGCCTGGTGGCACGTGCTTGTGTAGTCCCAGTTAACTTGGGAGGCTGAGGTGGGAGGATTGCTTGAGCCCAGGAGTTCAAGGTTATAGAGAATTATGATTGTACCACTGCCCGCCAGCCTGGGCAACAGAGAGACCCTGTCTCTAAAAAAAAATCCGGCAGTGAATGAGCGAACGTGTTCTAAGTGGCCACTGTGTGCCAAGCAGTGTGTTAGATACTGTTGTTGATTTCTTTTGGTGTTAGCATCAGTCCTGCAAAGTGGGCTCTATTTGTCTTCTTATAGATGAGACACTAAGACCCAGAGGCGTGGAAGGGATGTGCCCAAGATCACACAGCTGGTGGACAGCAGGCCTGGAGTGTGAGCCCAGGGCAGATGGCTCCAGGGCCAAGGCTGTGCCCTTTATTCTCTCTGGTAGGATCAGGCTGTCAGGGCCTAGGCAGTCAGCTGTGGAGTGATGTGGAAGAGATGCATCATCCAGGCCTTGAAGGATGACTCACGCCCTTTCAAAGTGTATTTCTGAGAGGACTGGGGATGTATTGTCATCTCACATAAGCCTCGGGAGGGTGGCGGATGTAAAACCAAAGCTCTAAGACAAGATTAAAGTGATCTGCCCAGAGTCACACAACTTCTGGGTTTTATCATATCTGAGATGGCCTCGATTTTTTTTAAGAGACAGGGTCTTGCTCTGTCACCCAGGCTGGAGTACACTGGTATAATCATAGCTCTCTGCAGCCTCAACCTCCTGGGATCAAGTGGTCCTCCCACCTCAGCCTCTCAAATAGTTGGGACTACTTTGGCCTTCCAAAGTGCTGTGATTAGAGACATGAGCCACTGCGCCTGGCCGATGCCATCAATTTTTAAAAGACATTCCATTAGGTTGCGTACCCCAATGAAAGAAGACAGACCCAAGATGAGGAGTCTCCTAGGAAATGCACACATACTTCCTACACAAGTATTTTGTTGTGTGTGTGTGTGTCAGGGTCTCACTCTGTCACCCAGGCTGGAGGGCAGTGGCATAATCACGGCACACTGCAGCCTCAACCTCCTGGGCTCAGGCAGTCATTCCGCCTCAGCCTCCCGAGTAGCTGGGACCACAGGCACATGCTACTGCACCTGGCTAGTTTATTTTTGTAGAGAGGAGGTCTCGCTGCATAACCCAGGCTAATTTGTGCTCCTGGGCTCAAGCCATCCTCCCGCCTCAGCCTCCCAAAGTGTTGGATTTACAGGCGTGAGCCTATCAGAGAGGTGGGAAAGGGTCTCCTGCATTCTAGGGAAGGAAATGAAGACACAGAGATTAAGTGCCTGCCAGGTGGCCAGTCGGGACAGCACCCCCATCTCTGGGCTTTCTCTGGAGTTTTGTCCACGTGGGGTCAAGGGGATGGGTGCTGCTGGACTGACTGGGTCCAGTCAAGGTGGACCTAACAGAGACTCCACTGTGCTGTCTTCTGCCAGGCTCTCGAGTACAACATCTTCGAGGGCATGGAGTGCCGCGGCTCTCCGCTGGTGGTCATCAGCCAGGGGAAGATTGTCCTGGAGGACGGCACCCTGCATGTCACCGAAGGCTCCGGGCGCTACATCCCCCGGAAGCCCTTTCCGGATTTTGTTTACAAGCGTATCAAGGCAAGGAGCCGGGTGAGTAGTTCTCTTCTTAGGACTTGTTTTTTTTTTTATTGTTATGGATTAAGTTCAGTGCCACGAACACTAAGCTCCGTGAGTCAGAACCTTGAGTGAGGACAGGGGATTCCAGGGAGAAGGGGACCCTGAACTTTTTCTTCCTGAGACTCCTTCTCCGCAGCAGCCTGAGCAAAGTGAGACCCTCGTAGGTGCTAGGGTGAAGAGTGTGGGTTGAGGGCCCAGAGTGGGATGAGGGCTCAGAGGAAGGGAGCACTGCTGCAGAGTCACGGGAAAGAGTGTCGGGGAGAGGACATTTGAGTTGGGTATTAAAGGTTAAGTAGGAGTTTGTCAAGTCAATTTGGGAGATAAGGGAGCTTGGTAGAGAGAATGTCATGAGCATAGAGAATGGATATATAGTGTATTCAGGACATAGTGGAAAGTCCACAGCACCAGTGTGTGGGGACATGAGGCCAGGAAGAGATGGAGAGGTCAGGGAGTTGAAGGGAGAGTGAGATTGGAAGGAAAATTTGGGACCAGATCTTGAACGTGACACCAGATCCTCATGGCATATTTGGAGGATTCTTACAAGGTTTAATGTTGAAGTGCCCTGTGGGGGGAATGATAAGAAATGTTAGTTTTTGGAGAATAACCGGTTCCCAGTGGCCTGCCCTGTGGGGAGCTGGCACCATGCCGTCTGTCCCTGTTGTACCTGTCTGTAAGAACCCTGTGTCCCCAGATCTCGCAGGCCCGTCTTGGCCTCGGGTCCTTCCTCACCAGGAGGTTGCTAGCAAGGGGTCCTCCATGACTGTGGCCTGAGTCAGGGGCTTTTGTGTTTTGCAGCTGGCGGAGCTGAGAGGGGTTCCTCGTGGCCTGTACGATGGACCCGTGTGCGAGGTGTCTGTGACGCCCAAGACAGTCACTCCAGCCTCCTCGGCCAAGACGTCTCCTGCCAAGCAGCAGGCCCCACCGGTCCGGAACCTGCACCAGTCTGGATTCAGCTTGTCTGGTAGGGTTTTGACCTGGGGAGGGCCTAGTTCTGAGTTGGAGAGCCTGCACTTGCATTTGAAAAAGGGGCAGAGGCTCACACCTGTAATCCCAGCACTTTGGGAGACCAAGGCGGGAGGATTGTTTGAGACCAGCCTGGGCAACATAGCGAGACCCCATCTCTACAAAAAATTTGAAAACATTAGCTGGACATGGTGGTACTTGGTGTTCAAGAGACTGAGGTGGAAGGATCGCCTGAGCCCAGGAGGTTGAAGCTGTGGTGAGCTAAGATTGTGCCACTGTACCACAGCCTGGGTGACAGAGTGAGACTTTGACAAAGAAAGAAAGAAGGAAGGAAGAAAAGACAGAGGGAGGGAGGGAAGAAAAGACTAAGTGAGTTAATATTCACAGTATTTAGAGCCATTTGAGACCTTTTAGCTGTTTCCTTGGCTGGAATGTGTGATGTCCCCTTGCTGAGAGGAAAAGTCCACATTCTAGAGTTTCCCGTCTTGGAACTTCCTTTCCATCTTTTGTCTGGCCCATGACCAGAACCTTCCACTCTTGCAGCTGCCTGAATCTCAGAAGGTATCCAGATTCCTATGGCATGTTCAAGAAATAGTTAATCCAACTGAAGTTTTTTTCTTTTCAGATGCACTGGTTTTTAGGTAGTTAGCACGTGGGTTATATTTGGATTACCAATTCTCAGAGCTTTCAAAATGATGAACTTTAGTTTTGTCAGAGGTGAAAGCGTTGTAAGCACATCTGTACCAGGCCATTCACACGTAAGGTACTTATGGGACGCCTCCTTGACTAGGGGAGAGACTGCCAGAGACGGGGCTGTATCTTCAGAAAAGCCCCAGCCAGCTTGACTCACGGGAACAGGGGTAGGATGGAATCTGAAATGTAGTGCTACTTTATTTATTAACTTTTTTTTTTTTTTTAGAGACAGGGTCTCGCTCTGTCACCCGGGCTGGAGTGCAGTGGCACAGTCAGCTCACTGCGGCCTCAAACTGCTGGGCTCAAGCGATCCTCCTGCCTCGGCCTCCAGAGTGGCTGAGATGTTAGGCGTGTGCCACCTGTTTTATATTTTTAAACTTTTTTGTCGAGACGAGGTCTCGCTATGTCGCGCAGGCGGGTCTTGAACTCCCGGGCTCAAGCGATCCTCCTGCCTTGGCCTCCCAAAGTGCTGGGGTTACAGGCATGCACCACTGGGCCCTGCGTGCTTTTTAACAGCTGGTTTTTCTTTCTCCAGTCCTAAGTCCAACTAGCTTCTGCAAGGACTGCTTTATACAGTCTGTGATGCCCTGGCCTCCTTGGGGCCGTCTCCTTTTTGTCCCCTGAACTTTCAGCGAGGCTTTAGAGAAGCCTGGAGAACGTGGCTGACATTTCTCTCCCAAGCCGTGTGACTTGGGTTTGCAGCAGGAGCTGGGGCGACTCCCGGGCCTCTCACCCCTCCCTCCTCTCCTCCCTCTCCAGGTGCCCAGATCGATGACAACATTCCCCGTCGCACCACCCAGCGCATCGTGGCTCCCCCGGGTGGCCGTGCCAACATCACCAGCCTGGGCTAGAGCTCTCCCGACCACACGCAGCCCACTGGGGACGGGGGACGGGACACCTGAGGACATTCTGAGACTTCCTTCCTTCCTTTTTTTTTTTTAAGAGCCTGTGATAGTTACTGTGGGGCAGCCAGTTCATGGGGTCTGCGGGGGCCCCGCACCCCGCTTCTCACCGGGAGTTACTGATCTCACCCACCCACTCCCCTACACATCTCCGAATCTCACACCCAGGTCTGTCCACTGAGCTCGTACACGGAACCACACCCAACACTCAGACATGCGAAACAAAGCAGGTCACGGCGAGGGTGTCCTCATCACAAACTCCGTAGCACTTGCTAGCATCTTCCTTTTCATGGGGGAAGGTAGAGTGAATTGCCCAGAGCTGCCTTTTTCTTTTCTTCTGAAATTGTTTTTAAAAAGATTTTTTTTTTCTTTGTGGGGCTGGGGAGGGGTCGGGGCTGAGGGGAGAGTCTTTTTTTTTAATACTAAATTGGAAAGTCTAATTCAATATTCATACAAGGGGTTTGAACTGGACATCCTAACGATGCAATTATGTAACCATCGAGCTGATTCAGGGTGGTTGGCAAACTCACCGTGCCCGTCCTGAGAGGCTCCAAGTGTCCACATCGCCATTCCATAGTCTTCTGGGTCAGCTGTTGAGAAGAGGCAGGCTTTCTTTTTTGGCCTAGATTTTGCCGCGGATTCATTCTTTTGAGGAGTCTCTCCACCGTTTTTCTGCTTTCTCTCTTGCTTTTTCATTCACGGATATTTCCAAGTGTCTCTGCCTCTTTCTTCGTGTGTCCTTGTCTCTGAGATGGCGCGTTTCTCTGCTTTCCTGTTGTGTCTTCATAGAGCCAGGTCTCCCATTTCACGGTGGTCCCAGAACCCTCCCAGAAGGATCTGAGCTTTGCTGTGGCAACCGTAGAATCACAGTGCCGTAAAATGCTCGTCCGTGTGAGACTGGTGCTACCCACCCGCTGTCACGAGGATGTGATGCTCGATACGCTGGCCAGGTGCAGGGTGGGGCTGAGTTATCTCACCCACATGTCACACGTGCCCAGGCATGGGACCGCAGACAGTGCCGAGATGGTGAAATTTGAGGTTGCAGAACGGGAGAGATTTTCCTCCGTGTGATGCTGTCTGGCCAAAGACACAGTCAAACCTATAAACCGAGCCCCCAAAATCCAAGAGAGCCAACCAGCCTCACGCTAGCCACTAGCTCAGAAGTGCTAAGCTAGTGGGTGTCTGGCCCAAGGCCCAGCTGTACCCTGGGTTTCAGTATCTTTAGGGATTCCAGACCACACTGGGATGTCTCACTTTGGGGGGGAAAATTCTTTTTTCTCTTGTCCAGTTCTTTCAAAAGACGCAGTGCAATCCAGGGTGACCCTATACACGCAGAAAATCTTTGGGGAATTTGACTTCAAGTCCATTTTACTTTTCAAGAGGAAAAAGAAAAAAATCTATGTTATGAATGGTATGTCACGTCCCAGCTGTTGTGGGGAGAAAACCTTCCACCTGAAACACACGGCCCCCTTAGAGACCACAGGTGTTCTCGGGTCTCCGTCCCACCGCCCTCTCCTCACCTCTGTGACCATTTCCCACTAGCTGGCATCTTCGTGTCCTTGTTGGCTTGAGTGGCATTTCATTCCAGACGTTTACAGGTTCTCTTCAGCAGTGTCGTCTCTGCAGGCTTTTAAAAACCAAATCAGCTTTTGTCACGCGTCCCATCAAAAAAGTAGGTCATGACATCACTTCCCTTGTTTCTCCACACGTTTTTGCCTTTGGGATTATGGTTGGGGTTTTTTGTTGTTGTTGTTTATTTGTTATTTTAAAGGTAAATTGCACTTTTAAAAAATAATTGGTTGACTTAATATATTTGCTTTTTTTTTTCTCACCTGCACTTAGAGAAAATTTGAACAAGTTGGAAAAAGAAATTTTTTTGTTTCAATTCTAAGAAACACTCGCAGCTCCTTTGTATTCACTTGAGTCTTCCTGTTTTTTCCTGTACCAGGCCATGGTAATTTTGGTTGTTTAGATCATTTTCTTTAAAGAACAATTGAAAACCTGAAGATTCCTGCAGGCTGTGTAAGCATGTTTACCCGTTGGCTTGCTTTGTGTGTCTGTTAAATGAATGTCATATGTAAATGCTAAAATAAATCGACAGTGTCTCAGAACTGAATAACTGCAGTGACTTGATGCTCTAAAACAGTGTAGGATTTAAGAATAGATGGTTTCTAATCCTTGAAATTGTGATTGTGACCCATGAGTGGAGGAACTTTCAGTTCTAAAGCTGATCAAGTGTGTAGCCAGAAGAGTACTTTTTTTTTTTGTAACCACTGTCTTAATGGCAAAATAATTATGGTAAAAAACAGGTCTCGTGTTTATTATTCCTTAAGAACTCTGTGTTATATTACCATGGAACGCCTAATAAAGCAAAATGTGGTTGTTTCAGGGTGTGTCTGTGTTGAGATATTCACGAGGCGGCTACTTGTCCCGGGCCTCCAACCCAGCGTCCCTCCACAGGCATTCCAGGGGCCCTCGGCTTCGGTTGGGTGACGGTACAATCCAAGCGTTTTGACTGCATGTCACAAGTTGCTATGTCAAGGCACAGGATGGGGTGTCATTTCCAAGCAAAGCCATAGCCTCTGGGCTCATGGGAAGCTGAGTGTCAGAAATCCTCAGACTCGGTCTTAGGGAGGTCTTGTTGCGGGAAAACAAGAGAGACTGTGACACTGAGGCCATCTTCGGCTCAGCGGGCTCGTACTCCAAGGCTGAGCAACCTGGTGGAAGAGGAGAGGGGTTTTATCTGTTCTTTTAAGTATGGGGGGGGGGGTCGGGTTGTAGGCTACACATTTTTCTTTGGAGTTTGCAAGGTGGTACTTAGCAAAACCAGATTTTCTTTCTTTTTTTTTTTTTTTGAGTTTGAGTTTCACTCTGTCACCCAGACTGGAGTACAGCGGCTGCTCCCGGCCACCGCAGCCTCGACCTGCTGGGCTCCGGTGATCCTTCCGCCTCAGCCTTCCAAGTAGCTGGAATTACAGGCATGTGCTACCACACCCGGCTGATTTTTTGATTTATTGTAGAGATGAGGTCTTGCTGCCCAGGCGGGTCTCGAACCCGTGGGCTCAGGCAATCCACTCACCTCAGCCTCCCAAAAGCACGGGATTACAGGCTGAGCCACCGAGCCCGGCCAAAACCAGATTTTCAAGGAATAAGATTATCTCCAGGGTATACATGACAAGCAAGGGTTATAAACTGATAACCACAGAGAGAGGATGTGGGGGTGAGGTTGTGAATGGATCACTATCCTGCATTTTCAGGAAAGCAACCTTTGGCTGTTTGGCTTTCTCAAGCCCCATGTTTAGCGGGTCTAGGGTCTGGGGCTTGCCGGTTGATTTTTTTTTGTTGTTGAGTTGGAGTCTCAGTCTGCCGCCCAGACTGGAGTGCTCCCGGCCACCGCAGCCTTGACTTGCTGGGCTCCGGCGATCCTCCCGCCTCAGCCTTCCAAATAGCTGGAACTACAGGTGCGCGCTACCACGCCCGGCTAATTTTTTGATTTATTGCAGAGATGATTTATTGCAGAGATGAGGTCTCACCAAGTTGCCCATCTGGGACTCGAACCTGCGGGCTCAGGCAGTCCACTCACCTCAGCCTCCCAAGGCACGGGATTACAGGCTGAGCCACCGAGCCTGGCTGCCGGTTGATTTTTAAAAGGAATGATTTTAACTGTTTTCAGCCCCTCTCTGCCACAGTCTCACGCGTCCAGAATCAAACTGCAACAGGGAATAGAATGGGATCCTGTAGGTGGGGGGGAGGTGCCCCCTCTGGGCTCTTTGCTTTCTTCAAGGTTGTTTATCCTGGCAAGTCCTCAAGCATGGGTGCGTGGAAGATAAGAGATGGAGCACCAGTAATTCTAGTACTCTGGGAGGCCTAAGCTGGAGGATCATTTGAGGCCAGGAGTTCGAGACCAGCATGGGCAACACAATGAGACCCCCCCCACGCCATCTCTTAAAAAAGTAACAAAATATTTTTAAAGCTTTTTCTTTTTTTTAAAGAAACACATAAAAGATAAGGGACAGGAGTGTCGACTCGTGTGCACAGCTCTGTCAAAAAGCTTGCAGAAGCTGGGATATAAAGGTTTGCTCTTCCAAGCTCAGCCAAGTGTCAAGAATGCACGCTGGGCGGGAGCCACGCCCACCCCGGCGTGCCCATTGCTTGGTTTCCATGGTTACCCCGTTGAACCGTGAACGAAGAGGGTGTGTGCCCTGGGATCCCCAGGCCCATCAAAGAGTTCATGAAGTTGTTTTCTCCCTTTCTTTCCCTCTGTTCCTCTTCTTTTCCTTCCTTCCTTTTTTGTTTTCTATCCAGCCCTGCCCGAACCCGATATGGGATGATTTGCAAAGGAAACACAGGATACCAAGGCTTTAGAAACAGTCTGGGTGAAGGAAAGATAAGAGTTGGGAAAAAAAGATAAGGCCCAATTGGGGTTCATATAAAACACTGCCACAGGGCTATATAGACTCGTTGAGGGGCCCTGAGTGTTCTAGCAAAGCAAACAACAGGGAAATACAACCAGTTACAAAGTTTGCTGTGACCAGAAGATTAAAAAGCCCCCCCTGTGGGAGCTTTTCCGTCCTCTCAACAAATCTTGCTTTCTTCAAACAAACAAAAAGATGAAGTAATCCTGAAAAAGTGCAGCAAATCCTGACCTCGGCCCTAAGGGATGTCTGAGTCCTCCCAGTAACCACGGTGTTGAGAGTCTACGGCTGGTTCCTCGCCTTACGCCGATGCAGAGTACGGTAATCCAGTGATAGACTCGGGACCTAATCACATCTGCCCCCTAAAGTCTTTCTGTGGACTTGTGTCTGCTAAAGGGAAATTTGCAAACCGGTCCCAGAGATAGCAAGAGACCAGGGTGCAAAGGCTTGGTCTTGGCCAGGCATGGTGGCTCACGCCTGTAATCCCAGCCCTTTCAGAGGCTAAAGTGGGAGGATTGCTTGAACCCAGAAGTTCGAGACCAGCCTGGGCAACATAGTGAGACCTCGTCTCTACCAAAAATTAGCCTGGCGGGGTGATGAGCACCTGCAGTCCCAGCTACTGGGGAGGCTGAGGTGGGAGAATCACTCGCGTCCAGGCAATCAAGGCTGCAGTGAGCCCAGATAGTGCCACTATAACTCCAGCTTGGGCGACAGAGTGAGACTCTAAAAAAAGAAAAGGCTTAGCTTAGTCTTCCACTTAGACTCTCTAGGGGCAGAAAGTCTCACCCTAACATATATGGGACTAGGACAACAGTTAAAATGGAGACCCCAAGGCTCACAGCCCACCTTCCTCCTATTCCCAACCTAGCTTCATTCCACACTGGAACAAGCCTTCTGCCCGTGCCTGTGGCCACCGCAGCCCACATGTCCAAGTTCCACTCAAACCCCAGCAAACAGCTGCCCCACAGGGTGTCTGCATTAGCGGTGAGGTCTGCCCTCCAGAGGACAGAGGCAGCAAAGAGGCCCACGTGGGTGCTGAGAGTGGGCTTGGGTCTGTTTGAGCAGGAGATCCCAGGGACCTGGGTACCAAAGCTGGCCTGGAAGACCGGCTGGGAGCATCTCCCTTACCCTTCGGAACGCCTCGCCCTCCACGATGGCATGCTAGAGGGGCCCAGAAAGCAGGTCCCTAGAGATGGACTAGTGTAGCTACAGAACTCTGTCGGTGTTCTTTCCTCCAAGGATAAATTTTAGAGCATCGGGAAAAAGTTAAGTGGAATGCATATCCTTCGGGAAGTATTCTGTCTTGCATTATAATAAGTTGGCAGCCTGGGGCAACATAGTGAGACCCTGTCAGTCCAAAATTTTTTTAAAATTAGCCAGGCGTTGTCATGCACGCCTGTAGTCCCAGCTACTCGGCAGTCTGAGGGAGGACCCCTTGAGTCTAGGGCAGGGGTCCTCAAACTTTTAAAACAGGGGGCCAGTTCACTGTCCCTCAGACCGTTGGAGGGGCGGACTATAGTTTTAAAAAAAGCTATGAACAAATTCCTTTTTTTAAAAAAATTATAGTCTGCCCCTCCAATGGTCTGAGGGACAGTGAACTGGCCCCCTGTTTTAAAAGTTTGAGGCCCCTGGGAGAAGGACAGTTTATCCATCAGGCACAATTCCCAGCCTGTTCAGTAAAATCCTCTTTTGTTTCCCATAGCCCTATAGCCATAGACCTTCAAAATGTTAGTTGCTCTGAACTGACTCCTAGGATGGGTCCACTGAGCCAAAAGTCTCCCCTAGTGTCCTAGCAAGTCATGTTAGAGGATCGAGGGCAAAGTGATTTGTTGACAGGAGTGATGGGTGATGGGAGGGAAGATCGGAAATGTCACCCTCAGTCAATACTCAGCCAGCCAGACTGGAGGCTCTAAATTGCCCCAAGTGTCTCTAGATTTTCCTGGGCTACAACTCCTGGATTCCATCCTCCACAAGCCCCTGAATTACTTTTTCACCTCATCCTTTCTTTTCAGCAGGTGATCCTGCTTCTTACTTTAAATGCAGAACAACCTGGGAGCCAGATTTCCTGACGCTATATGTAACCTTGGGGTGGCAGCTGACTTCCCTGTGCCTGGCGTCCCCATCTAGAAAAAGGAAAAAATAATAGTTCCCACCTAATGGGCTTGTTTTGAATATGAAAAGAGTTAATACATATAAAACACTTATACAAGTGGCTAGCACATCATACACATAAAATAAATGTAGGTTATCTTATTCCTGCTCCCTTGCTGCCAACATTTAAACACGTTCATCTCATATTTATGAAGAAATTCTTTCTTATCCTCACATCTACATCCACCCTCTGTCCTCTCTAAAAATTCACCCTTGTTGTCAAATAACTTAAGTAGGAGGGCTATATATATCTGTGGCTTTTCCCCTCCTAAATTCTCTCTCCTAACCCTAGAGCCATCCAGCTCCACTAGCCCTTCCCTTCTCGAAACTGTTTGTGCCATGCACTTCCTGCCTCTAAATCCCAAGGACACATTTCACTTCTGTCATTTCACCTCAATGTGCCCCTGGCTCTGTTGACCTTTTTGCTCTCTTCTACTCTGTGTACTCTCACACCCCACCCCAGGTCAGATGTGCATTAGCTGCTTGCTGGGCTAACTGCAGAAATATGGATGTCCTCTGGGAGAGTGACCTCCCCTATTCCCTGGCTGCTGACCCCACTGGCCTTCTCCAGACAGCCCTCTCTCCTGAGCCCCATTATAAATGGATCTTCAGATGCTTCATATGTTCCTATCCTGAGCTCTTTCTTGTATTCTCAAGCTGTTCCTCTCCAGAAGTCCCTATGTCCATGGAGTGTATCAACATGCACTATGTGGTTCTGACAAATGGTGCAGGGGTCATTCTCCAACATCTGCTCTACATTGATCCTATTTCTTTTTTTTTTTTTTGAGTTGGAATCTCACTCTGTCGCCCAGACTGGAATGC